ACTTGCTCACACTCCTAGCATCATTGATGAAGAGACTTTTACCTCTTTCCTGTTCACAAACCACCACACAATCACACCTGTCTAGCAGGCACAAATATATCCCAAACGCTTTATTTTCATCACACATGTCGGCAAATAGGGGTAAGTGTATCAGATTCGGCCCTCTCTGAAAGCTGAAAAACAAACTAAAATGCATACGGTGGCATTTAACTTCACGACAGTGTTATCCTCTTATTGGCTTTCAGCTCCAATTAGCACCCAGTTCCCATTATATCAGACTTTTTCCGAGCATCCAGCAGCGTCCATTTCCGTTGGCCAGCAATGTCTGATTACAGTGTTGTTTCCCGTTGCACTCAGTGCTGGCTTCCTGTCGCTGAGAGAGGGGAGCATCTGTGCCAGTTTGACTCATCAGCCCAAGAGGGATTGCTCCATCCATGCCTTGTCCGTGTACTTGGGTTCCCAATGCCTTTTTGTTTCTGAAGACAAGCGAGAGAGATGATGGAATAAAGCTCTGCTCTGGTCCCTGAGGTCTGAAGGCACTAAGATCTCACAAATACGCCTCTGTCTCCTTTAGCCTCCTGCACAGATTTGTCGTGCTTGCTCACTTATGGCAGAGTACATACCTGAATATTCGACATCAAATGTGAATTAGGTATTCTGATTAGGAAATAACTTATGGACGTATTAATGACTAGGGGCTGCTGCCCCTGCTAACTGCCTGCCAAGCTCTTTCCTCCCACCTCCCTTTTGCACCTCAACAACTCCATCACCTGTCCCCACATGGCTATCCAGAGGCTATATATTTTTCATAAATGAGGCTCTGCAGTCATGAAGACCCTCTCTCTGTCTTGCCTCGGATGAAGGCACACCTGGCAGAGAGACTCTCAAAATGACCTTAATACAGGTTAGTAGAAGGACAAGCATTCTTCAAGATACCAGGTTTTGTTCCGGGGTGGGGGGAGTTTTTAATGGTGAGCACCAGTACTTTGAATTGTGTTCAGAAATGTATTTGGGCTGCATGAATACCATGCATTTAAAGAACAGTCCCCTGCCCCCCCCAATAATCCTGGGAGCTGTATTCAGGTAGGTAGCCGTGTTGGTCTGACGCAGTCGAAATACAGTGGTACCTCGGGTTAAGTCCTTAATTCGTTCCAGAGGTCCATTCTTAACCTGAAACTTTTCTTAACCTGAAGCACCACTTTAGCTAATGGGGCCTCCTGTTGCTGCTGCGCCGCTGGAGCACGATTTCTGTTCTCATCCTGAAGCAAAGTTCTGGACTCACAGCTGTCCATGGAGGTGCAGGTTAACTCTGTGTCCAGGGCAGCTGTCTACCAGCTCCACCTGGTACGCAGGCTAAGACCCTACCTGCCCGCAAACTGTCTCGCCAGAGTGGTGCATGCTCTAGTTATCTCACGCTTGGACTACTGCAACGCGCTCTACATGGGGCTACCTTTGAAGGTGACCCGGAAACTGCAATTAATCCAGAATGCGGCAGCTAGACTGGTGACTGGGAGTGGCCGCCGGGACCATATAACACCGGTTCTGAGAGACCTGCATTGGCTCCCAGTACGTTTCCGAGCACGATTCAAAGTGTTGGTGCTGACCTTTAAAGCCCTAAAAGGCCTCGGTCCTGTATACCTGAAGGAGCGTCTCCACCCCCATCGTTCAGCCCGGACACTGAGATCCAGCGCCGAGGGCCTTCTGGCGGTTCCCTCATTGCGAGAAGTGAGGCTACAGGGAACCAGACAGAGGGCCTTCTCGGTAGTGGCGCCCGCCCTGTGGAACGCCCTCCCATCAGATGTCAAAGAGATAAATAATTACCTGACATTCAGAAGACATCTTAAGGCAGCCGTGCTCAGGGAAGTTTTTAATATGTAACGCTGTACTGTTTTTAACACTGATTGGGAGCCGCCCAGAGTGGCTGGGGAAACTCAGCCAGATGGGCGGGGTATAAATAATAAATTATTATTATTATTAACCAGAGGTACTATTTCTGGGTTAGCGGAGTCTGTAACCTGAAGCGTATGTAACCCGAGGTACCACTGTATATAAAAAAAAATGTCCACTAGCACCTTAGAGACCAACTAAGTTTGTTCTTGGTATAAGCTTTCGTGTGCTTGCACAGTTCTTCAGATACGGGAGCTGGGATACTTGGGAGCTGTAGTTTATCTTGCACACAGCTCTAATTTACAGGACTATAAACTACAGTTCCCAGGATTTTTT